CGTCATGGCCGCTTGCAACCCGCTCAGCGTGTTCCAGCCGGGTCAGAGGAGGCGGAACCGGAACTTGCGCCCGGAGCGTGTGACGCCATCTTGAGAGTGGCTAGGAAGACGTGGGTCGCACATTGACGCCATCTTGAGTGTGTCCGCTCAGCCAAGGAACTCTGTCCCCATCTCCCCCTGATTTTACCAATGGTGTCAGGTTGACCCGAGAAGTCAAATTGTTGATTTCTCTGAGTCAGAAACGACTCGATGGAACTTAACAACAACAGGTCAGAAGCACAACGCTGTTATGGGTTTTTATTCAGTCCAATTGCCAGCAGGCTGTGTGACCTTGGACTGCACCCTCTCTGGGCCTTCTGCCCTCCTAGGTTTCCTCTAGAACTGGAAAGACCCGTGATTGGTGGTCTTGAGAAATGATTACTTGGCTGTTGTCAGTTACTTTTCAACTTTTAAAAAGAGATTGGATAAGGGCCATCCCGGTCTATAGAGGTGGGAGAGACTTGACTGAAAATAAGGATAATACTTCTTGTGTGCCTGGCCCCGTGCTAAAGTACTTCATGTATATTGATATTGTTGTTAGGTGCCAATGAGTGGGTACCGACTCATAGCGACCCTATGCACAACAGAAGGAAACCCTGTCAGGTCATACACCAACTTCACAATCATTGCTATGTTTAAGACCATTGCTGCTTGTTACTGTACCAGTCCATCTCATTGGGGGTCTTTCTCTTTTTCTCCCACCCTCCACTTTACCAAGCATGATGTCCTTCCCTAGGGAATGGTTCCTCCTGATAATATATTGGTCCAAAGTATAAGAGACAAAGTCTGGCCATCCTGGCTTCCAAGAATCATTCTGGCTTTACTTCTTTCAACATAGATTGGTTTGTTCATTTGGAAGTCCATGGTACTTTTAATATTCTCCTCCAACACCATAACTCAAATGTATCAATTCTTCTAAAGTCTTCCTTATTCACAGTGCAGCTTTCACATGTATACGAAGTCACTGAAAATACCAGCCTTGGTTCAGGCACGTCTTAGTCCTCAAACTGACATTGCTCTTGAACACTTTAAAGAGGTCTTGTACAGCAGATGTGCCTAATGCAATATGTCATTTGATTTCTTGACTGCTGCTTCCATGAGTGTTGGTGGTTGATCCAAGCAAAATGAAGTCCTTGACAATTGCAATCTTTTCTCCATTTATCTTGATTTTATTGTTCCAGTGATGATTTTTGTTTTCTTTACATTGAGATACAACCCATAACGAAGGCTGTGGTCTTTGATTTTCATCAGTAAGTCTTCTTCGCTTCAGGAAGCAAGGCTGTATCATCTGAATATCTCAGGTTGTTAATGAATCTTCCTCCAATCCTGATGCAAGCTTCTTCATATAATCCAGCTTCTCGGTTTATATGCTCAGCATACAGATTGAGTAAGTGTATTGATGTAGTTACTGATATATTGCCCATTTCACAGACGAAAAAACTGAGGCTCAGAGAGTAATAGGACTTGCCCAAGATTCTAAAATGAGTTGATAGAGATCAGAAATGTCAACCCTTTCAGATTCTAACCCCCCATGCTCCAAGATTGATGTCAGAACCAAACCCAACAAAACCCGTTATACAGTTGAATCAATTCTAACTCATAGCAATCCCAGAGACAGACTACAGCTGCCCTCAAAGGGTTTCCAAAGCTGTTACCTTTTCCGGAAGCAGACTGCCACATCTTTCTTCCATTGGAGCGGCTGTGAATTCTAATAGGAATACAGACTCTAGATCAGGACTGTCCTGTGGAAGTGTAATGTGAGCTACAAGTGTAATGACATTTTTCTAGTTGTTGTTAGGTGCCATTGACTTGGTACCGACTCATAGCGACCCTGTGCACAACAGAATAAACACGGCCCAGTCCTGGGCCAACCTCACAATTCTTGCCACGCTTGAGCCCATTGATGCTGCTACTTTGCCAATCCATCCCGCTGGGGGTCTTCCTCTTTTTCTCTGACCCTCCACCTTATCAAACATGATATCCTTCTCCAGCGACTGGTCCCTCCTGACAATATGTCCGAAGTATGAGAGACGAAGTTTGGCCATGCTGGCCTCCAAGGAGCACTCTGGCTGCACTTCTTTCAACACAGATCTGTTGGTTCTTTTGGCAGTTCATGGCACTTTCAGTATTCTCCTCCAACACTAGGAGGAGAATACTCCTATGTTGTTGTTAGTAGCCATATTAAAAAAAAACTGGTGAAATTAATTAATATCTTACTTTACCCAATACATGCAGTTGATTGTTGTTTTAACAAGTATTCCACTAAAAGTTACTGAAATATTATTTTATATTCTTTTTTCATATTATGAAAAATATGAAAATATTCCCCCAGAAAATCTTTGGAATTTGATGTACATTTTGCACTTGCAACATATCTCTGTTTGGACTAGCCACATTTCACAAGGCCAATAATTGCTATGCATGACTGCATGAAACAGTGCAGGTAGATTCAAATTCTAACTCTTTATGTCACTCAGTCAAATTGCTTAATCTTGGTTTCTTCGCCTGGTGGAGATAATAAAAGTCTAGATTATTGTGAAAAGTAAGCGAAGTAGTGGATACCCATGTCTGCAGTAATCGGTGATAATAACCAAGTATGGACTGTTAGACACTCTTCAAAGTATTCTTCTGAACAAATAAATACATTTATTCAGTTAATCATCACAATAATTTTCTAACTGTAAAATAGAACCTTGGTGGCTTCGTGAGGTAAGCACTGGGCTGCTAACAGCAAGGTTGTTGGTTGGAACCCACCAGCCAATAGGAGGGATAAAGATGAGGCTGTTTGCTCCAGTAAATTTACAGCCTATAAAGCAGTTCTACTCTGTTCTACAGAGTCACTGTGAGTTGGGAATCGTCTCAATGGCCAAGTGTTTGGTTTAGTTTTCGGTAAAATGAAGTTATTAATATCACCTTGTCTTCACCCTTACCTGCCTTAGGTGACAGGGAGCTCCTGATAAAAAGCCAGGATATGTCCCTCAAAATCATCTCACCATTCACTTTCCCTGTTTTGATTTAGTTCCCCCCTAGAATCCAGGCTAAATTGGGTGATGAGAAAGCAACATACAAAAGGGAGGCCAGCCAGCAGAGGAAAGATGCCGATGGCAGAAGACATAGGGAGGAATGTGCAAGAAAGTGAATAGAGGTATATACTCTTAATTGTTGGACATGGAAGGAATTGCAACCATTGTAATCAAACGAAGTATATGATTTATTGGATGTAAAACTGATGATCTGTTTTGTAAACCTTCACTCAATTTACAATAAAAGGTTTTAAAAACAAAAAGGAATCCATCCATTTCTTCTGTCATGCAGCAAGTCATTTTTAAGCCTGTTGTTCCCCAGCTGCTGCAGGAGACATTAGGGGAGAGTGAGGAGAACAAGACAGGAACAGTGTCTACATTCAGGCACTAAGCCTGTTTTCTATCCACTGCACCAAAGACAAGGGATGGCTGGCCTGTGGTAGTCACTCCAGACCTCGGCCTCCTTCTATTTCATTTTTCTCGGTGATAGTTTCATTTTTCTTCACAGAATCAAAGACGGAGGAAAAGGATAGAGAACTCCTACTCCTTCAAGACCTCTCACTCCTCTCTTTGTTGAATCTTCACCACTAGAAGAGGAACATCCTTGTTGCACAATTCCCCACGTCACCCCTTTCAGTTTCACAGTCCAGGCCTAAATTCCTAGATCCAGGGCCTCTAAGCTTCAGAGACTGGAAAATCCCTTGCCTTCTTTCCTCCTTCCTGTAGCCTGGGAGCAAGGAGCTGGTATCAGTAATCTTGTGCCTTTGACTTCTTTTTCCTTGTTGTTGTTAAGTGCCATTGAGTCGGTTCTGACTCATAGCAACCCCAAGGAACCTCTGGTGAGTTTGAACCGTCCATCTTGTAGTTCAAACTGACGTTGTGGTCTAGTGCTTTCTCCAGTGTCACACCAGGACCTTATCCTTCTCTCTTGGACCTTATCTTTCCTACCGCCTGCCCCTCTTTTTCCTCTCCAACCGCTCCATGCCTCCTTACCCTTAGACGTTTAATTGCAAAAGCTAGACGGTTTGTGGGAGACCACAAGACAGGGACCCTTTTCATTTACAGGCAGATAGGGAAGCAAAGGGGAGGCTGCAACTAAAGAACTATCCTACCTTCACTCTCTGAGTTTTCTGCACTTTCTTCTTTCTGTCCCACTACACCCCTACAAGCTTTGAAAGCTTTTCTATCTAGCAAGAGCTGGCCAGGAGCGCTCCTCTTGGCCTCTCACGAACTGCTGTGATTTCAGAGAGGTTAACTGTCTTGTTTTAGGTCACACAGCAACACATTACAGCCCGCCAGAGCACTGGGAGGCCTTGGAGAAGAGAGCTGGCACCCACTTGGCTGCCTGCCTGGCTGTTGCCCTGGCAGGCATGGGGTGCATGAAAGCCCAAGGGCCCCAGTCCCTGAGTTCTGTTCTATAGGCCAGGGGGCCCACCGTCGGCGTTGGGTTCCTCAAATGCACGGTAGAAATTTGAAAGGCTTGGTAGGTCGAAAAGCTGTGCTCACCCCTCCACGTAGAGGGGGTTGGGCGGGGGTGGAGTTGGGGAAGGCTCTCAGTCCGGTGCGATGTGACACCTGTGTTCGCGCGGGTGCTTTAAACGCCCAGACCGGGAGCCAGGCGCGCGGCGGAGGGCGGGGTTGGGCTGAGGGCTGGTCACATGACCTGGCCAGAGGCGCTCGTGTACCCCCCCCTACTCCATCGGTGGGCGTCCCCCACAACGCGTGGTCGACCCTCATTGGTTGGTGGTGCGGCCAATAGAAATCGGCCATCTGGGAACCCAGCGTTCCGAGGCACAGCCTAATATGCTGACCTGGCCAGTATCCAATGGAAAGGGGCAGCTGAGGCCTCACACCAATAATAAAGCGCAGAAGGCGGGTCCAAAGGCTGGGCCAGGTTGGTTTGAGAGGCGGGCGGGTATAAAAGGGCGCGGCCGCCGTCGGCGACTGTCCCCACTGCAGAGCCGCTGCCGAAAACTGACTTAAAGGGCCCGTGCGCCGCCGCCCCCTCGGCCCGCCATGCTGCTACCCGTGCCGCTGCTGCTTGGCCTCCTCGGCCTAGCCGCCTCCGAACCCGCTGTCTACTTCAAGGAGCAGTTTCTGGATGGAGGTAACGCTTGGTTTCTTCTCGAGACCTTCCTAACGACGCGTCCGGTCCTCATCTGGTATCTGTGTTGTCTGTAATTACCGCCTAGAGGTCCTACACTGTGGCCTCTCAGGGACTGGAGCTGCGGGAGATTCCTTCTGCGTCCCTGGGGAGCGCGAAGGGTGCAGCAGTCTCCGTTGGCGGGGGCTAGGCTTAGCCTGAGGTGTGTCAAGATGGAGGTTGGGGCGATTGGTGTTAGGGAAAACCTCCGAACTGACCCCCCCCCCCAGCAGCTCGTAGCACCGGCAGATGTTTGGGAATCAGGCGGGGGGAAGGGGGGACGATCAGCGCGGCCACTCAGACCTGCCCCTGTGTGACCTCTTAGATGGGTGGACCGGCCGCTGGATCGAATCCAAACACAAGTCGGATTTTGGAAAATTCGTTCTCAGTTCCGGCAAGTTCTATGGTGACCAGGAGAAAGATAAAGGTAAAAACCTGGGGGTGGGTGGTCAGATCTGAGAGGACTTGCTGGGGGAAGAAGCCTTAGTTAGTTTGCAGAATCTGGGCATCCCCCTAGCAGGGCAAACCGGAAGAGGGTTGTTAATACTCTAGAAGCCTAGGGTCCTAAGGGTCGGGCCCTAGTTGTGACTGCCTCATTCCAGGGCTGCAGACAAGCCAGGATGCCCGCTTCTATGCTCTGTCAGCAAGATTCGAACCCTTCAGCAACAAGGACAAGACCCTGGTGGTGCAGTTTACCGTCAAGCACGAGCAGAACATTGACTGTGGGGGCGGCTATGTGAAGCTATTTCCCGATGGTTTGGATCAGACGGACATGCACGGGGACTCAGAATACAACATCATGTTTGGTGAGGGGGTGCCCTGCCCAGTGCTGGCTTCTGTCCACTTCCTCTGAGAGACTGAAACCTTACGCTTTTCAGCCAATGAAAGGGGGTCTTGAGAGTACAGAAAGAACTTTTGGTCCATTTCTTTGTGGGAGGAGTGACCAGAAAAAGAATGAACTGTAATTGATTGTGTTTAGGTTGATCTACAATGGTTTGTGTAGTTCTTAGTAGCTCTTTAACCAGTTTCCAAATGAGGAGACTTAAGTTGTACATTGTTAACTTTTTAAATTTAATGCTCTGCCCATAAATTGTTAAAGACAGACTTAATTTTTAAGAACAGGATCTTTTTTTTTTTTTGTAAAGGGTGGTGAGGAGCTCTTGATGGTGGTCAGCCATTGGCTCTAATTGAATCTATTTCCCACCTAGGTCCTGATATCTGTGGCCCTGGCACCAAGAAGGTTCATGTCATCTTCAACTACAAGGGCAAGAACGTGCTAATCAACAAGGACATCCGTTGCAAGGTGTGCCTGGGGGTGGGTGGCAGAAGACTTTCTGGGAGGTTCTGCAGCCAGCCAGGTGGGCGGGGCCACTCAATTCCCACCCTCTTCAGGATGATGAATTTACACACCTGTACACCCTGATCGTGAGGCCAGACAATACCTATGAGGTGAAGATTGACAACAGCCAGGTAGAATCGGGCTCCTTGGAAGATGATTGGGATTTCCTGCCACCTAAGAAGATAAAGGATCCTGATGCTGCCAAACCTGACGACTGGGATGAGCGGGCCAAGATCGATGATCCCACAGACTCTAAGCCTGAGGTTGGTGTCTGAACCAAGGCTACCCACCATGGAGGGTGCAGAAGACAGACAGCGTGAGGTAGACTCTGTCTGACTTCCTTGTGTATCTCCAGGACTGGGACAAGCCTGAACACATCCCTGACCCTGATGCCAAGAAGCCTGAGGATTGGGATGAGGAGATGGATGGAGAATGGGAACCACCTGTGATTCAGAACCCCGAGTACAAGGTGCGAGTGAGGCACTGAGCAGGGCTGGGGTGCATGTTGGGTAGGGCACTGGACTTTAACCCACTGTCAGGTTCCCTCCTCTGCAGGGTGAGTGGAAGCCCCGGCAGATCGACAACCCAGATTACAAGGGCAAGTGGATCCACCCGGAGGTCGACAACCCTGAGTACTCCCCCGATGCCAGCATCTACTCTTATAACAGCTTTGCTGTGCTGGGCTTGGATCTTTGGCAGGTGAAACACAGTGATAGGAGGAGGATCCCCCTGGAATAGGGGGAGAGGGTGGGATCTTACCCAGGAGAAAAGGAACAGAGGGAGGATTCAAATCTAGGCAGGTCTGATGCTAGAATTATGCTTACTCTGTCCTTGAAGTGTAATCCAGGGATCCCCGGGGGGTGTTGTGGGTTAAACATTGCTCTACTAACTGTAAGGTCTGGGATTCAAACCCACCAGCAGCTCCGAGTGAGAAAGATGCAGTCTTGAAAAACCTAGGGTTCTACTTTTTCCTGTAGGGTTGCCATGAATCAGGATTGACTTGATGATAATGGTTTTGAAGTATTTCTGAGTTTGTTAAATGCATCATGTAGTTAGTTTCTCAAGTACCTTTATATAAGCTCATTTGATTTTTCCCAACCTCGAAGACGTGAGCATTTCTAATTCCAAAGTTTTGTCTGTGTAATCACCTCTCTACTGATAATATATAATCTGCCTAGAACAATATTTGGCACATATAATTGTTGTTAAGCACTGTCCAGTCAGTTCCGACTCTGTAAATCTCTATAGATAAGGAAACAGAGAGACGAGAATTAGAGTTGTAATTTTGTGACTATTTCTAACTAATATTAATGTCTTCATAAGAACAGCCATGTGGAGACTGAGGCACAGTGTATAGTAGATACAGGAACAGACTTAGGGCTACCAGGTATCACTATTGCCCTTCTCTCCCTTTCCCTCCACTCACTCCCAGGTCAAATCTGGTACCATCTTTGACAACTTCCTCATCACCAACGATGAGGCCTATGCTGAGGAGTTTGGTAATGAGACATGGGGTGTCACAAAGGTAGGGCTGGTCCCAGGCCTGGGATTGGGAGTGGGCGGGACTGTGGCGGTGGCGTGGGGCCTAGGCGCTGAGGTCTAAGGTCTGTACCCATAGGCTGCAGAAAAGCTCATGAAGGACAAGCAGGATGAAGAGCAGAGGCTAAAGGAGGAGGAAGAGGACAAAAAGCGCAAGGAGGAGGAGGAGGCGGAGGACAAGGAGGAGGAGGAGGACAAAGATGAGGATGACGAGGACGAAGAGGACAAGGAAGAGGATGAGGAAGAAGATGCGGGCCAGGCTAAGGACGAGCTGTAAAGGCCATGCTGCCTGCCTCCAGGGCTGGACTGAGGCCTGAGCGCTCCTGCCGCAAAGCCGGCTGCGCCAAATAATGTCTCTATGAGACTGGAGAACTTTTCCTTTTTTTTTCCAGGCAGGTTCAGATTTGTCTTTCCCTCTTCAAGACCCTCCCCTTTTTTTTTTTACTGGTGTTTTGTCTTTGATTTTTTTCCCTTCAGTTCTCATCCCTGGCTCTCATCTTTCTTGATCAACATCTTTACCTTCTGTCCTCTGTCCTCTCTCCTCTTCTCTCCCTGAAACCTTTAAGTCCTCTCCAGCCTGGGAGTTGGGGGTGTGGAGAAGCCCAGGCCTGAGATTCCATCTGCTCTACTTTCTGGAGCCCCCCAGGGTGGGGGGCGGGGGCAGGAGAAGGGGGTAGCATCCCAGCCCCACAGCACTGAGGAAGAATGGGGCTCTTAGGACCCAAGCTCTGCCACCTCCCACCCCTTTCTCCCCTGCTGGGCCACTTCTGTATGGGGCAGTGGAATCCAGAGAATGTAAGAACTACAAGCAAAATTTCTATTAAATTAAGTTTTGTGTCTCCCTCTTGTGTTTCCTTCTCGGGGGGAATGTACATCAGGTGGCCTTTCTGTAGGGAGTGGTTGGCTTCTAAGTAATGAGTTCTGAATTTAATTTTTCGGTTGTTCAAGACTTAGTCCCACAAAGTTACAGGAACGTTTACTTGTCTAATGAGCCCAAATGAGTAGAGTAACTGTGTTAAGTGTCCCATATGTTAGGAACTCTTGATTCTGTTGCCAGTTTGATTTGATTGTGAAGAGACTAAGGCACAGAACATGGTGGTTGGCAGGAATTTGAATTCTTACGAGGTCACTGCTGTTTGTTGTACCATTGCTGTTATGCTGGAGGCTATGTTGCTGGTATTTCAAGCCCCAGCTATGCCACTGATCACTCAGTGGGTAAAAAGTACAGCCAGAATGCTTTTAGAAACAGTTCGTGAGACTTCATTTCATGTACCTTGGACATGTTATCAAGGTGGACTAGTTCCTGAAAAAAGAACATAAATTATGCTTGGTTAGGAATAGGGAATGTTTGGCCTGAGGGTTGTATAAGGCCCACAAAATCATTTGGTCAGTTCTGACTCATAGGAACCCTATATAGGGGTCTGAGGAGCGGCTGAATTGTCACTCATGCAGTTTAAACAGACTTTTGTGGTCGAGTGCTTTATATTTATCCTAAACTATCACACCAGGACTCCAGCCATCCAATCAGCAGCCCTGTTTAGGGTTCCGATGAGTGGATGGTGACTGAACCACCAACTTTGCACTTCAAACTGACTTTGTCCTTTATTGTTTATCTTATAGTGCTACACTAGGACTCCCCAGCCATCACGTTAAATGGTATCGAGTCAATTGTGACACTGTAAGGATGACTGGTGAACCTGAACCAGCAACCTTACAGTTCAAACCAACTTTGCAGTCCAAGTGCCATCACATTGCTAAGTGCCATGAGTTGCTTCTGACCCATAGTGACCTTGTATAGGGTTTCCAAGGAGCAGCTGGTGAGCTTGAACCACCAACTTTGTGGCTTAAACTCTTTGAAGTCCAGTGCATTAACCCACAAGACCATATAACCAAATATAGCAGGCTAATTTTAAGTTGATAATTTTGTATGGTCTACAGATTGTCATAAATTTTTTAAGTAAAAAGGTTCCCCACCCATGAGCTAGATTGGCATATTGGCTGCACCAAATGGTCTATGGTGGTGGTGTGCCATGGAATCAATTCTGACTCAGTGACCCTGCATAGGGTTTCCGAGACTAGTCTTCACAGAAGCAGAAAGCCTCATCTTTCTCCCACAGAATGGCTGGTAGTTTCCAAGTGCTGACCTTGAGGTTAGCAGCCCAATTAATAATCACTATGTCAGCTAATGTTAAAATTTGTTTACTTTTACTAAGGACATAAGCTCAAGTGCAAGGAACCCAAAGTTTGCGGTCTTTGGGTTTGAACCCTTTGAGGGGAAAGAGTTAGTTGCTGAGAGGAAGATCCATGAGGCTACATCTGGAAGGTTGGTGAAAAGTCAGAAGGCTTTGAGGATGTGAGGAGCAGGTGCCCTTGTTTCAGAAGGAAAGAACTGGCCCTGGCCAGTGCTGGCGGAGGTTTTAGGGCTTGGCTTACAATGCAGAGGTAGCAGATTGTCCAGTGACGAGCTTGGGCAAGTTGTTAGAGCAAGTAATGATGGTGGGGGAAAGGTCTGAAGTCTGTTGCCAGTCTCCTGTCAACATGTTCTTAATGGGAATCAAGCCTGGACCTAACAGCCATCTTTATCCTATTTTCCAAAGAACTTGCTAATGCCGCTTGTTCCCTCCACGTGCCTCCTTCAGGTTTCCATTTCTGTGTGCCCTATGGCCCAGTCCAGTCCTTCAGGAAGTCTTGACTGAATCTGCAAGTATCGCCAGGATTGGTGCATGGAAGGGAAGATATTAAGAAACTATTCATTGGCTGGAAGCCTTGAAATATCTTTGGGGTCAGGAATGGGATAGTCCGGAATGAATGAGTGAAACCATAATATCATTAGGTTCAAATGAGATGTTTTCTAAATTTATAACTTTGAAGATGTCCTTTATGATCTTGAGTAGTTTACACACACATTCAAGCCTCCACAGAATCAGAATGGCCCAGTCAGAAAAACTCAAAATGAACAGACAAAAACCATGAACAAAAGACTTTACTGAAGAAATATGAACACAACTGTAAAAAAATTATATAATTTCGGTACGGAAGCAGGAACACCGGAGCCATTTTGTGATAGCATGACGTCACTGCTATCGGGCATGGCGTCACTCGCGGGAAATCACGTGACAGGTGCGTGCTGCAAAGAACCACCCATCCACCCCCACCCCCGCAGGTAGTGTTTAATTTGCGCATGCCTGGTCGGAGGGCGCGCTAGTGCGCATGCCCATGAGGGCTTTTGGTGGGGAGCAAGGGGGGTGGGGGAGAAGGGCACGTGTGGGTCACGTGTGCTAGCAGCCGGCGCGCGCACCATCTGCCCCGGAAGCGGTCGACGCGCGGAGCGGCTGGGCGCTAAAATGGCGGCGGCGTGAGTTGCATGTTGTGTGAGGATCCTGGGGCCAGGATTCGTCGCTCGGGTCTCGCCATGGCTGTCACCATCACGCTCAAAACGCTGCAGCAGCAGACCTTTAAGATCCGCATGGAACCTGACGAGACGGTACGGGCAGGCTGGGCCCGGGGGCGGGAGCGACGGGTGCCGGGGGTGGGGGGGGGGCGGGGAGGCCGGGATCCTGGCGAGAGGCAGTACGCTTCAGGCCGGGCCCTGCCCTCTCCTCACTGCCTAACCTCCTTGGAGCCTCTGGTGGTTCCTTTCCCGGTCCCCGGTTCAGTTACCGGCTGCTCGGCCGGCGCTACCGGGCAGGTCTCAGGGAGCTACCCCACTCCCGGGGTACCCGCCAGGCCCCGGCTTCAATGTCAGCGTTGTTGCGGGCCGAGGAAGTCACAGACTCGGAATCGCGGCCGGGTTGCGCTCCAGGATGGGCCCTCCCGCTTTCCCAGCTTTGCAAGCGGCTCTTTGTAGACGTTGGCAACGGAGTTTGGGAGCGGTGACTTGAGAGCTGCGGAGAATGATGGCGATTTTAGTCGTAAACGGGCGCAGTTGGAATTGTTGTAGTGGTCCGTGTCTGCTGCCCTTTTGTCCTTTATTCGTTGTTGTAGCTTTGTGGTCTCCTTCTTTCTCTTACTGAAGCTGCACACAGGCCGTGAAATGGCAGAGCTGACACCCAGATTCCTTTCTGTAACAACTTCTAGTCTAGACACTGTGCTGACTTTTTAGCAGATTCAGTGTGTTAGTTGGGACCGCCGAGCTGAGACAGACGTGGGAACCCCTGGTTTGAAGAACACGAAACGGTTGCAAGTGTTTTAAGCAGCTCAGCTGTTTACTTTGGGCAAGCTGCCTAATCTGTGTCTCCGTTTTCCCATGGAAAATTAACCTGATGGTTACCTGTTTTAGGGAACTCTGGTGGCAAAGTGGGTTAAGAGTCGGGCTATTAACTGAAAGGTCAGCAGTTCGAACTACCGCTCCAAGGGTAAAAGAGGAGGCTTTCGGCTCCCATAAAGATTTATAGCCTCGGAAACCCTGTACAGGGTTGCTATGAGTTGGAACCGACTCTACAACACACAGCCACCACCACCACCACCACCACCCCTATATCTAATTTACGTAGTTTCTTAGGCTTAAGGAATGTAATACGTTTACAATAACATAAAGAACTTAGGGTGCTCCCACAAAATACTGGCCACTGTTATTGCCTAAGGTTGGCAGCATGGAATGGGAGACTCTACTCGCTCCCATTTATTCACTTTTACTTTTTTCTGTGCTTTATGCCATCAGAAATGTTATTTTTTTCTTCACACGTTAAGTTCTTCTTGTTAAGTACCACGGAGTTGGTTCTGATTCATAGCTACTTCACAGGGTTTCCTAGGAGTCACTGGTAGGTTTGAACTTCTGACCTTTGGGTTATCCGTCCAGTGTCATTTGCCATTCCCCCCAAACTGGACGAAAAGAGGAAATCTTGAGAGCTGCAATGGCTTTGTACTCTTTCCTTTTAGGTGAAGGTACTAAAGGAGAAGATAGAAGCTGAGAAGGGTCGTGATACCTTCCCTGTGGCTGGACAGAAGCTTATTTATGCTGGCAAGATCCTGAGTGATGATGTCCCCATCAGGGACTATCGTATAGATGAGAAGAACTTTGTGGTTGTCATGGTGACCAAGGTTGGTAAAGTGTGCTGACTGGAAGGGTGGGTGGATTTGCTGTGGAGCTGGCTAAGAGCCCTTGTGCCTCTGATAGATTAGCCATGAGCAGGGTGGGGCTGTGACAGAGTAGGATGTTGGGGCTCGATACCGGTGCTGACGCTGCTCCTTTTCCCTGGCCATCACAGGCCAAAGCTGGCCCAGGCACCTCGGCCCCCGCAGAGACCTCACCTACTGCTTCCCCGGAGTCTTCCACATCCTTCCCGCCAGCCCCTGCCCCTGGCATGTCCCAGCCCCCTCCTTCTGCCAGAGAGGACAGGAGCCCATCTGAGGACTCTGCCCCCACAATGTCCCCGGAGTCTGTGTCAGGGTAAGTCAGGGGGCAGTTCCAGCTTGGGTTCTGTTCTTCCAGCACATTCCGGCTCACACATGTGTCATCCCATGCACCTGGGAGGAGGGCAAGTTGACAGAAGCCAGGGTCCGATTTCTCTCTCTTGAATTTGCAGCTCTGTTCCCTCTTCAGGTAGCAGCGGGCGAGAGGAAGACGCGGCCTCCACGCTAGGTGGGTAGGTGGACCCCAGGTTGGAGTGTCCTAGCCATCACCAGGGCTATCTGGGTGTGGGAGGGCTTGAGTGCTGCCATTCCCTTTCCCTGGCGACCCGGGCCTTGCTGCTCCATCCACAGTGACTGGCTCTGAGTATGAAACAATGCTGACGGAGATCATGTCCATGGGCTACGAGCGGGAGCGCGTCGTGGCTGCCCTGAGAGCTAGCTACAACAACCCCCACCGCGCCGTGGAGTATCTGCTCACGGTGAGGTGGGGCTGCTGCCTCCACGGGGAGGGCATCAGTGGGCCTTGCTGCCCTTAAGGGCTGTGAGGGAGGCAAAACCTGTCCTCAGAAGACTTTGGGTGGTGGTTCCCACCAGGAAAGGTTTCCTGCAAAAGGCAGGATATGGGGTGGATCTGGGAGGGGTGGGTCTCCTGCCAGGGCTGGGAGGTCTCAACAGTAGCACTAAAAAGGACCCCTGACAGGGAATTCCTGGGAGCCCTGAGCCAGAGCACGGCTCCGTCCAGGAGAGCCAGGTATCCGAGCAGCCGGCCACAGAAGCAGGTGAGCAGGCTGGGCGGTGTGTACCTGGGGTGTGTGTTCTTAGGGCATCTGAAACTTCTCCCCTTCCCAGTCTCCTGGGAGTCCCTCATGGTGTCTGACTCTACATTCTCTTGCTTTCCTTAGGAGAGAACCCCCTCGAGTTCCTGCGGGACCAGCCCCAGTTCCAGAACATGCGACAGGTGATTCAGCAGAACCCAGCACTGCTGCCAGCCCTACTTCAGCAGCTGGGCCAGGAGAACCCTCAACTCTTACAGGTGCGGCCTTAGGAGCAGGGAGCCAGGGCAGGTACCATCTCCCTCTTCCTGTGAGCACTATAACCCTGAGAAGTGAGCCTGGCCGAGTGGCACACAGAAGTTGCTCTACACCTAGACAGCTTGACTAAGGTCCTGTGGACTTGTCATTTTCCCTCTCATCCTGTGTCATCATCATGCTCCCCACTCCAGAAAACATCTGAATCTTGGACCAGGCTGACCACCCAGAATCACAAAGCTGACGGAGTGTGATTCCTTCCTCGGTCCTGTGCTCTGCCTTCTGACTCTTTGGCTTTGGCTTGCCTCTGTCTGTGTACAGTTGATGCTTCATAATGTCTGTGGGATTGCATGATGGCACCTAGGACAATTCTGCTCTAGCTGACTTGGGGCACCTTCAGTGAACAGGGTCCTAAGGAAGCCAGGAGGAGTGTGATGGTTCCTCCAGGGGCTTCTGACTCGGGACCAGAGCCTGAGGTGGCTGCTTTTTTTCCCACTCTTCAATCTTCTGTAGGCTCTTCCTGCTCTTAGCCCTTTAGATGCTATACAACCCTACCCTCAACTTGCACTGTCTTCCGTTCATGGTGTCCTGGGGTCTTCAGTCTGTTGACGCCCAAATAATGTAATCAGCCCAGACCTCTGGAATGTCACACTTCCCGTGGATGACTGGATTATTGTGTTAAGTGCCTTTGAGTAGGTTCCGACTCATGGCGAACTAGTATAGGGTTTCCAACAAGTGGCTGGTGAGTTTGAACCGCCGACCTTGCGGTCTAGTGCTACAGCACCACGCTAGGACTGGATGCCTCCATGAAAGTGCTCTGTAGACATTTTACTTCAGCTAAATCAATGCAGCACCAGCACTCTCTGACCTTGCCCAGTGTTGAGATGTCTCCAGTCCCAGGGCCTCCTGCAGTCCATCCCCTGGCCTGTCGGCTTGATTTCCAGAACATTTTGCTCAACACACCCTACACTGTACCTTCATGGCTGGTGGTCCTCTCACCCAGACCCCTGCTTCTGCACAGTGCCCACACACCTCTTCATTCAGGAGCTACCACCACCATCATCATCTGGTCTGTTCTGATTCCGAACGACCCTGTAGGACAGTAGAAGTGCTCCTTAGAGATTCTAATTTAAGGCTATAAATCTTTATAGGAGCAGGTAGCCCTTTTTCTCCTAAGGAGGGGCTGGTGGGTTTGAACTATTGACCTGTGGTTAGCAGCCCATCACAACCACGCATTCCAATCAAAAGTTTACAAAAATAGAAATGTGTGAGAACACTAAATTCCAACACCTAGGTGGCTTCTTTCACAAACATTGCTTACGGTTACACAGGATAAGTCAGATTTGGCCTCTGCCTCTTCCCTTGTGCATCTGTACCTGCTTTCTGGGTCATATGTTCCTGGGATTTCCCAAATGCACCCCCAGCTCCAAGCCTGGTTTGCTTCACCTGAAGGAAATACTTCTCTATCCCAGCAGTCCCCTCCAGCCTTCATTTGGTGGCTCCACGATGGGCCTGTTTATTTGCTTGTGGTCCTGGCCCATCCACTCTACCTACCAGGACAGGTGTCCAGGTTCCCTCCAGTGTTGCCAGTGTTTGGCCATAGACAACCTCTAACTGTTAGCTGTGTGAATGAAAAGGCAAGGACTGATGGGGACTCACATCACCACCTCTCCCCCTTCCTCTCCCACAGCAAATAAGCCGGCACCAGGAACAGTTCATTCAGATGTTGAACGAGCCCCCTGGGGAGCTGGCAGACATCTCAGATGCAGAGGGTGAGGTGGGTGCCATAGGCGAGGAGGCCCCACAAATGAACTACATCCAGGTGACCCCGCAGGAGAAAGAAGCCATAGAGAGGGTAAGAAACCTGACTGAGGGGGACCCTACTGGTGGACTGGGTCTGTCCCCCCAACCCCCCTCACATTTGCCCATCTTCCTACAGTTGAAGGCCCTTGGCTTTCCAGAGAGCCTGGTTATCCAGGCCTACTTCGCCTGTGAAAAAAATGAGAACTTGGCTGCCAACTTTCTCCTGAGTCAGAACTTTGACGACGAGTAACGCGGGGAAACCAGGCTGCCTATTGTCCCACCTCACCCCCATTCCACAAAAGTTTTATAAAAGAAAAAATATATATATATATATTCATGTTTATTTAAGAAGTGGGAAAAAAAAAAAAAAGTCATAAACCTTAAAAAAAAAAAAAAAGTTCCCTTAAATTTCTGCCCTCCTGAAGTGTCCCCACTTGCTTTGCTGCCTGAGAAGACCTGGGCTAGACAGCTGTCCTCCAGTCCCCCGCCCCAGCTCAGCCTGCTTGGTGGAGCTGGCAGGACTGGGAGGCAACAGATGGGCCCCTCTTGGCCTCTGTCCCAGCTCCCTGCAGCCAGATGGAGAGGCGGCTGCTTGCCTTCCATCCCCTGAGATATCCCCCACCCCTCTTTCCAGGCTAAGGGGAAGCTGAGCCCAAACTTTGATCCTCCATTGGAGTGGCCCAAAATTTTCCATCTGGAATGAGCACTCAGGTGCCCAGCTCCCTTCCTCCCCCCCCCCC